GTGGCTGAGGCACAGATGGCTGCTACCTCCTCTATTCTCTGGTGATAGGGTTTGAGCATGTTCACATGGAGCATGCGTCGTTTCCCTACCCCAGAGCACGGGCCGATCACATAAGTGGTGTCACATCTCTGTTCTACCACTTGGTATGGGCCCTGCCAGGTGGCCTGTAGCTTGTCTGTGCGGACAGGTTTCAAAATTAGAACCTTCTGTCCCACCTGAAAGCTACGGTCTCTGGCTCCCCTATCGTACCACCGGCGCTGTCGCCGCTGAGCCGCCCGGAGGTTCTCCCGTACGGTTTGGGTTAGAGCCTCCAAGCAGTCCCGGAACTCCACCACGTATGGCACAATGGGGACTCCATCTGCACTGCTCCCCCCCTCCCAATGTTCTCTAATTAAGTCTAGGGGTCCCCTCACCCTTCTCCCAAACAATAACTCAAGCGGAGAGAAGCCGGTAGATTCCTGTGGCACTTCTCGGTACGCAAAAAGCAGATGGGGTAAAAACCTCTCCCAGTCTTTATGGGACTCCCCAAATGTCCTGAGCATCTGCTTCAAGGTACCGTTAAAGAGCTCACACAACCCATTGGACTGCGGGTGATAGGCAGAATTTACAATTGGCTTAATGCCACATAACTTCCATAGCTGGTGGGTCACTTCGGCTGTAAATTGGGTCCCCCTATCCGAAATTATCTCTTGGGGAAATCCCATCCTGGAAAATATCTTCATCATAGCTTTGGCTACCGTTTCTGCTTGTATATTGGAAAGGGCTATAGCCTCCGGGTACCGGGTGGCATAATCTACAATGGTCAGAATATACCGCTTGCCGGAAGGGCTAGGCTTGGACAGTGGTCCTACTATATCCACTGCTACTCTGCTAAAGAGTTCTTCAATAATGGGAAGGGGGCACAATTTCGCTTTGTGGCGGTCACCCCTTTTTCCCACTCTCTGACAAATGTCACATGTCTGACAATACTGTCTCACATCTCTAGATATACCTGGCCAGAAAAATGCATGTGTCAATCTGTACCTCGTTCTTGTCATCCCTAAATGCCCAGACAGCGGAATATCATGGGCAATTCTAAGCAGTTCCTGCCGGTATTTCTGGGGCACTATAAGCTGCTTATTAGTCACATGTACAGACCCCCCTACCACCCGCTCAGCAACACGATATAACAGATTTTTCTCCCATACATACTGTTTTCCCTCTAAACCTGTCTGACCAGCTGTCGCCTTATCCTTATAAATTTGCAACGTGGGATCGTTTTTAACCTCTGCCTCAAAGTCAGTCGGGGTATCCCAGGAAACACGGGTTACACGGGGTACATTGTCTCTTACCTGAGCCTCAGAGTGTGTGGAAGATGAAGCCGTGGTGCGAGCCTGCTGACGGGTGGTCACTGGATATGCCTCATGGCGAGGACTTTGGGGCACAAAAGCGGAAGTCATTTGCCCCAGGTCATTCCCCAAAACAACATCAGCTGGTAACTTGTGCATCAGCCCCACCTCCACCATACCTTCCCCCGCACCTTAATTCAGATGTACCTTGGCAGTTGGTAGCCGGTACATGGCACCCCCTGCTACCCGGACTGCTACCGATCCCCCGGTATGTGCTGATCCTGACACCAAATGCGGGGCAACCAAAGTTAAGGTAGCGCCGGAATCACGTAGCCCCTGTACCTCTTTCCCTTCCAGAGTCACGGTCCGGCAATGTGGTTGTCGGTTGTCAGTAGCATGGATGGACATTACATCGTGCAAAACGCCCAGGGGTTCATCAGCCGACTCAAGCGGCACTCCTGGCAAAGTTGGCTCTGCATGATAATAATGAGCAGCTGCCCGCGGGGCCATATTCTGCCGGAGCTGATTCCAGTTCTTGCGGCTCCGGTTTTGGGTGCACTCCCGGGCCATGTGCCCCCATTGCTTACAGGCATGGCACTGGATGTTGGACCTGCCATTATAACGGGAGTGGGGAGGTTGTCCCACAAGTGCTGGTCTGGATGGTGCTGTCGCTGGGGCAGGAGCAATAACTGGAAACGGTTGCGGGTTGGGTTTTGCATACCCTCGGTTATTATTTTTATGATGCCTCCTAGCATCATAATGTTGGTCGGCCAATCGTGCCGCTTCGGTTAGGGTGTGAGGATTTCGGTCATTCACCCATTCTTGAGCCTCTGGTGCCAGGCCATTACAAAACTGCTCCAGTAGCAACATCTGGCGTAACTCTTCCATGGTGGTAGCTCTGCTGGCTTGTATCCAGCCTTGTGAGGCTTGGTCAAGCTTGTGTGCCCACTCCGCATGTGAGTCTTTGTCCCCTTTTTTCAATTCTCGGAACTTGCTCCGGTATGCCTCTGGGGTAATGGCATACCTTTCTAATAGCGCCTGCTTTACCTTGTCATAATTCTTGCTGTCCTCTCTGGGTACAGCCCGGTAGGCGTCTGCTGCACGCCCAGACAGTTTGCCTGCCAACAAAGGTACCCACATAGCTTGCTCTACATCATGCAAGTCACACAATCTTTCAAAATCTTGCAAGAATCCATCTATTTCGTCTTTATCCTCGCAAAAAGTTTTAAATGCATGATGTGGTATTTTTGGCCTTCCCTGGCCCACAGTTGAAACAGCAGCGGTTTCTGCTTGAGGTGAGAAGGCTTGATTCCTTTGCGCCATCACGTACTCCTGTGCATCCGCCGAAATTATGGTCATAATTTCTGGAGATACTGGAGCGGGCCAAAATGCCAATCTTGTCCTCATTTCTCGTTCAAATGGGGTCTCCTCCATGTTTGCTGGGGGTGTAGCACTACGAGCTCGGTCTCCTTCCATTAGCTCGGCAATAAGTCTTGCTTTAGGCTTATTGCTGGCTATCTTACCCCTGGCTTCCAACAGCTCCTTTAACGTTTGCCGTTTCAATATGGTGTAGTCCGTCCCCATTCACTTCTGCATCTGTATCAATTGCCTTCTGCTTTCCAGTATGTCAATTCCAATTGTATAAACAGCGTTTTTCCTGCTGTACGGTTGGATCCCGCCGCTTGCCACCAATTGTTGCGGAGCTGCAATTTTATAATCCCAGGATCTCTGCTGGTAGAATGCAATAACCAAGTACAAAGCTGGAAGCAGGCAATATTCCCAAATCCTCCCAAGAACCAGACGAAACACAGTCTGAGAGTCAACTGCCACTTTATTCAAAAAGACTGATATTTAAAGCAGGTCACTCAACTGTCACTTTATTCAAAATAACAACTTAGTCAGTTTTAATAGCAATGCTAACGAATGGGGAGGATTCGAACAGACATACACAGTACAGCATAAATTAAACATAGCCGGAGACGCCACACTATACCGGCGCGCAGTACACAACAGAAAATAGGCACAACCATTCTATCTTAGGCAGTCCCAAGTGGCTAGGTTTGCCACATCTAGTAAACAGTGAGCAGCTTTTCCCCCTCCCGTGCCGCATGAGTGGTGACTTCTAACTTGAAGGGGGACCTATTGCCCCCCTAAGTACCAATAAAGGGGGGGCATATTGTCCTCCCCCCTGGCCCCCACCCCTGAGCGGTGGATGGGGGCGCTAAATAAAAATGTAACCC